TGGCATCACAATTACTGGTCTTATTATGACTGTTATGACAAATCATGACAGCATATGACATCTGCCATGACATGCTTATGTCGTCGTTGTGTTTTTGTTATGTAGCAGGATTCAAATAAAGTGTTACCAAAAAAGCTCATTTAGGAAGATATTATTTCTCAGCATATCTTTGTGAATCTGTCCCCACGTATTGTAGGACATATCTTGAGCTCGGGTAGAATTGTAGCTGAGATTAAATTTGCTCGGTTGAATCAGCGGCCCAACTGCTGCCAGAGACAGATTGGCACGGAGCCCAAACACCCATCCAATCATGTGCGGGGGGCCGGGGGGCAGGTATGTGTTTTCAGTGGGTCAGAAGGAGTCTTGTCTCCTGCGTGTGAGGATGCTGATTCCTCCTGTCCAAATGTGTGATAACCTGCCATTATCTCATGAGCAGCGTGGCGGCTGAATACTAACTCCGCCTGGATCTCACAGGACGTGACTTAGTGCAGGACACTCTAATATTTCTAATGCTCGGTGCCCACTCAGACTCCCAGATATCTCACGCCCCGCAGTTTAGTTCCAGCCCTAATCTAACTCAGCTGATTTAGCTAAATGAGTTCTCCAGGATCTGAATATCAGAGCCAGCTGTGTTAGAAAGTATCCTGTGCCGGGTAGGTGATCTCAGCAGCAGGGTTTGACTTGCTTGCAGTAATGCCTGCAGCTTAAATTATGTTCACACAGCTTCAGAAAGAGAATTTTGTTGTGTGTATGCACTTTTTCCCAGAATATGGTTTAACTCAAAGCTTCAGATCATGCCTAGGCTTTGAGAGAATGAATTATGCATGAACCACGATTCTGTATTAAAGCTTCATTCAGATTATAAACACAAGGTTCACTTTACTCAAACCATTTGCCTCAAATTAATTACAGTCTGTTTTCTTTTTTAGTTTGTTATTATTTATTGTATATAATACTTGTCGTCCTTTAAGCCTTTAAGCATGATTAGAATAACTCAAACATGTAAAGTGTAGCCAAAGTATAGCCTAAATATAACAAGTATAATATGTGAAAATGTTGCTTTGGAAAAACTTGGAGCCCCCTGCACTGTATAGTTCAGTGTTTCTCTCTGCTGTTCACACCTCGTTCAGCTCAAGAAGGGGTTAATTAGCTAATAATATCAGGTATTTTAACCAGGGAACCACAATTACGCAGTGCAGGGGTTTCAGGCCTGGAGCTGAACTCTGCACTAACTGCACTAGCAAACTTACAGAATCACGTCTGTCGAAACACAACAGAGTTTTCTGACCCACGACATTCAGTCTGATATTTAACGTTTATGTTTCTCCATTCAAACGTTTTTTCTCTTCCAAAGTGAGTCATTTTAGTCATCTTTCACCTCTAGTTACCTTCGTGCTGAGTAGCGAAGCCAGACATTCGAGCCCAAACATGGCAGCTATGCTGAGGCCTTAACTTTACTAAGGGGCCTAAACCATGAAAAACAGTCATAGACCATTATTAAACCTCCACCAAACTTCATAGCTGCGTTCAGGCAGGTTCTTCTGCATCCACCAAATCCAAATTTGTCGGTCAGACTGACGGATCGTAAAGCATGATTGATCCTTGCAGAGAACGTTTCCACTGCTCCAGAGTCCAGATGATCTTAGACTTGTGTGTGGCTACTCAGCCATAGGAAACCAATCCAGCGCCAGACAAACCTCTCTTGTGCTGACCTTGCTTCCAGAGGCAGGTTTGAACTTGGTAGTGAGTTCTGTAACCAAAGATTATTCATGTTGAGAGCTTGAGTGGCCCACTGCATCTTGGCGGAGCTGTTATTGCTCCAAGTTGTTTCCACTTCACAGTAACATCACTTACAGCGGACTGGGGCAGCTCTAGCACGGCAGAAATGTGGCATCTTGTGAAACAGAGCTCCTAAGTATGGCCCCTTCAACTGCCAGTGTTTATTTATGGAAACTGCATGGCTGTATGTGTGATTTTATGCACCTGTTAGCAAAGTGTGTGGCTGAAAAAAGCAAATGAATTTGAAGTGGTGTCCACATACTTGGGCTATGTAGTGTATATCTTGTACTTTGTCGGTTGCCTTACTACAAATGGCCTGCCAGTGGTTCCTGCTTGGGGCACTGGTGGAGATAAAATAAATGTTTTTAGTCCTGGTCTAGACCCTTAGTTCCAGTATGTGGGTCCACTCTTCAGTTCTTCACACTTACATGTTTCATAGTAGCAACCAAATTTATAGTATTTATAGTAGTTACTGAATTATAAACAACAAGCCAGAATCTCAAAATAAACTTTGACTCAAAGTGTCGTTCTAATGGACATGTGCCATTTAAAACTTGCTTGGGACCAGAATTAGACTCTTACTACAGCCAAGAAACTAAGCTGGTTGTGTTGCAAATCTGCCCCCGTTACCATGGTGACGTCTGCAGGGACAACGTTTCCCTTAAATCAAACCTGATGAGGAGTTGTAGCAGGACTGGAGGGCAGAACCAGTACAAACTTAACTACTGCATTATTGATGATGCTCCTAATGAGGTTTTCAGAGAGGGTGCGCTATGAGTGATTCTGATTTGACTCATACTCTGTGTGTTTGTGTGTGTGTGTGTGTGTGTGTGCGTGTGTGTGTATGTGCATGTATTTAGCTTTCTGTTGGGACCCCATAATAAGATGAAATCATGAAAATGTAGTGGTTGTAGGGACATTAGGCAGCTGTCCATTCCCCCAAAACACTGTACCCTTTCTTAAAAAAGTGAAGTGTTTTGTTCCCCCTGCCCACCAATCTCACCCCTTTGAGTGAAAGAAGAGACAGAGATAGCTGAGAGACAAGGCAGAGGGAGTAAAGAAAAAAAAATCAACGATGGACAAACTGGACAAAACAGGACAGACAAACAAGAACATTTAACAAAAAGATAAACAAGGTAATAATGCCCCTTCCCCTTCTTTCCACACTATAATTATGATGGTAGGTATCAAATTCTGTGTATGGGTTTTAACCTTTTTCTTAAAGAGTTTAGAACAATAAATCAGCTCCCAATTTATGGTTAAAATTGTGACCAGGTTTCCTTGACTGGTTTTGCATTATTTTTCAAATTTGCTGCAAGTCTTTCCAAGTTGCAGTGATCCATGAGGTGCTTAAGCCAGTGCTTTATGGAAATTATGGTTCTGTCTTTACAGTTCAGCAGTATAACTTTTTTGGTGATGGTAAATGATATGAATATAAATCGAGGGTGATTGGGTGCTGAAAGTGAAGAAGGCTCATTAAGTAGTGCTACAATGGGACATAAAGGGATGACAAGGCCCAAAATCTCTGATAGCCTGTTCTTGACCTCCAACCAAAACTGCTGGGTAGGGGGACAAATCCAGAAAGCATGATAGTAACTGTCTGTTTAAGCTGAGCAATGTTAGCATGCATCACTAGCCACGTTTACATGCAGGCTAATAATCCATTAATAATCTGACTAATAGCTCAATCAGAATAGAACACGTTCATGTAAACACCTCAATTGGAATAGACTAGTCTGATTGAGGCCATTTGGAATACAGTTTCTATCCGATTGAACAAGGTGGGTAATCCTGTAAATAATCTGTTAAATAGAAGAATAATAAACATGTAAACCCCTGTATCTGATTACATTCCCAATCGGAAAGTTTAAGTCCGTTCTGCGCATGTTCACGCCATAGCGAAAGTTTATAATGGCGGGATCAGAAACTGGTCTGCAGGAGACTAAGTTTATGCTTTGAGCTGTAAAAGCCCGCGGGGGGACGAGCGTCCAGCTTATGTGTCTCAGAACACGACGTCTTCCTCTCGGCCTTCTTTATTACATGTGAAGCACACTTGTCTGCCATCATTTTAAAGCAATTAAAAACACAAGTGCGCCAGCTGAAAACTCGTCTCACTCTGACTGGACTCACGTGATGCTCGTTGTCATGGTAACATCTACATTAAGTGGTTCTCTACGCATGCCCATGATTTTTGAGCAGATTACTTGTAGTGCGCATGTAAACTGAAGTTTTTATCAGATTGTTGAGTAGAGTGAGCAGATAAACACCTCAGTCTTCATCTATAATCGGAATGTATTCAATCGGATTGGCACAAATCTTTGCATGTAAACACAGCCACTGTGACTAAACCCCATACGATGTAGTTTAGAGGCTGTGATGTATGTTCTGTGCTGAGGTTGAAGTTAGGGTTGGTTTAGTTGGAGCACAGCAAACGAAATGCTCTGTGAGATTAATGTTCTATTCAATAAGACCGTGGACAGTCATGCAAATCACACGTACCAGCTGTGCCCTCATAATATGAGTTTAAAAGGCGAATTATTGGGTAAAAAGAGAAAAAAGGTTGTTACAAAGAGGTAGTGGTGTTAATAAATGACGTTCTTTCCCACCACAAGATTCTACAGGCGTGTAATTCTACTGTGACTAGGAAATTAGAATTTGTAAAATAATAACAAGGATTGTGGATGCATACTGTGACTTCTCACATCTGTACATCTACCCTGAGAGTTTAAATAATGCTATTGTGCATCTGTCTGTCTCTGTTTTCTGTCTGTTAAAGGAAAATTACTGGCACCTGGTTTTAAAATGAAGAGTGACTGCTAGTCGCTCAAACATCGGTAAAAGCTGTAGTAGATCCTCCCCTGTTCTCTCTCCAATGAATGTGCATTTTTCCATGCACACTGTTCATAAACTGTATGTTTAGGCTTACGCACCACTTTCGGATACATCTTGATGTGCACCTGGCGCTGGGGCGAAAGGCTCAGAACAGAGTCTATTCAGTCCTATCCTGAGGAAGAAACTTCTGAGTAATAAAAACATGTAATAAAAAAGTGCAGTGCCTATAGTCTTTTAGCTGAGCTGAATTATTCAGCCTGCCTGTGGAAGAATAGAGGAGGACAGGAGGAAAAGAAAAAGGCTGTTGTGGCTTATCTTCATTTTTCTCTCTCTCTCTCTCTCTCTCTCTCTCTCTCTCTCTCTCTCTCTCCCTCTCTCTCCCCCTCCAGTCGAAGAAGCAGGATTTGCCTCGTGAAGAACAGGGTCCCTCCATAAAGAATCTGGATTTCTGGCCCAAGCTCATCACGCTGATGGTGTCGGTGATTGATGAGGACCGAACGGCATACACACCCGTCCTTAACCAGTATGTATTTATGTTTATGAATAAACTAGTATGTGTATATGCAGTATTGAGGCTGTGCTGTGCCCCCTGATTCCAATCACCCCTTAAACTGTAGCTGTTATTATTTAGTTGTTATTCTTAAGACCTAATTTAACAAAACATTAAAGAATTATTCAGTTGCTACTATGAATTATTTAGTAAATATAGAGCAACTACATTTATTATTCAGAATCGTAATCATAAATTATTCTGTAACTACAATTAAATATTCAGTATCTCCTTCAATAACTACTGTTGTTATTCAGTTTCTACCATGTATTTTTCAGTACTTCTATTAATGATTCAATAATTACTAGGAATCATTCAGTTACTAACAGTGTTGCATTGGCACATAAACGCTGTATTGATATCGCCGATACCTGTGATTCATGAGCGCCAGCAGGCAGAACTTAACATGTCAGCGGTGTGTTGACAAGCAGCAGTAAAAATGCTTATGCGAAAAGCTGTAACGGCATTACTTCATGGGAAAAACACGCTAACGGCCCCTTACCTGAAAGACTGAGCCAGGCCTCTTTCAGTAATCACTCATCTCCAGCTGTGTAGTCTCTTACAGTCTGAGTCAGTGTTAGTCCAGATCGTCACTGAGGGAGCAAAAGGAACCGTCAGACTCTCAGCATAATGATAGGCTTTAGCTTTTAGCATAGCAGCAGGCTATTGTGTCCGCTAGCCCTGCCTGCGGTGCGCCTCCATTGGTCAGCTATATGAATCACTCGCCCTGTGCTTCAACCAAGCTGGGAAAAACACTGAAAGTCTGCTAATGACACCTGAACAACGGTGATGTTTCTTGAACTCAAACAGAGTCTGACGCATAGAGATGTAGTGTGAGTGAATGAGACGCACGTATGAGACAATTCAGCAGGTTTAACTACAGATTTTTCAGTGTTTTACACAATAAAAACATTTTACATTTACTTAAGTTGTAAAATATGGTTTTGTTACTAATTATATAATAATAAATACTAAATATGCATAGTAAGTCAACAGAAATAGCTTTTCTTAAGCATCTAACATATATATATATATATATATATATATATATATATATATATATATATATATATATATAATCCAACAAGTAAATGCATTAGGTCAAGCTGAGCATGTTTTATTTGTGATTCAGAACATATGTTTTTTTGCATAAATATCAGGTTAGTTAGTTATAGGTTAGTTAGGTTCAATAGAGCTGGTATCGATATCAGTATTCTCTATTGTACTTTAGGATCAGGTATCGGTATCAGAAGAGAAAAAGTGGTATTGGTGCATCTCTAGTGCAATCCCATTTCACCCCTCACCCCTACCACTTAGCCCTTAGCCCATACTACGATAGTATTATTGTAGCTTAATGTCATTTCACTGCTAATAGTGCTAATGTCTCGGTAGCTAGCTAGCTAAATTTCCCATTCCACCTTAAATAGTCCAGCAGTTCTGACGCCTGAAGCGCCAGAATGTAACTGCTGCTCCATTTAAGGTGGAACAGGAAAATTCAAATGAGAAGCTGGTGAATATCTGATTTCAGCTTCATATCACTGAAGAATTAGGGGTGGGCGATAATAAATAATTGCCCCCCTCTTTGAAGGCATATGATGCCCTAAATGTAACTAAAGCCCAGCAGTGAGGAGCTGAACTTTACCCTCCTCTGCTGTCACTGCAGACTGGCAGCGTCGCCTACAGAGCAGCGCTGGTAGCTGCTCTTTTTATTCGACGGTTGTTCCATTTCGTAGGGAAGATTTCAACCACTACCCCCTAACGCAGTTCCAAGAGGCAAGGCGATACTCTGAAACAATGGGTAGGGGTAAAGATAAGAAATGGGATTGGGGCCAAACGTCTGAAACGGCTTTGTAACTACGTGTTCGAGTGTAGTACTTCATATACTCTATATAGGCCTGCAAGTGAAGTATATGCCACAGCATCTATAGCGTTTGTGCACATGCAGTGATGGAGTGGAGTGATGGCTTTGCATTTATCCGCTCCCCAATCTGTTCTCCGGGCCGCTGAGGGGCTAAATGGAATCGGGTCAGGCTTCTGATTGGTTGCTGAATTCAATCGGGTCCAGCCTAATTGGGTTCAGGGAGCTTTCTCACAGCAGGAGGGGATGATGATGTGAGAGAGAGAGAGAGAGAGAGAGAGAGAGAGACTAGGAGACAGCATGAGTGAAAATGAAAGAAAGTGAGAAAGAAGTGAGGGAGAAAGAGCGAGAGATAAAGAGAAAGAGATAAAGAAAGAGCAAGTGAGAGAGCTAAAAAGAGAGAATGACAGAAAAAGAAAGAGCGAGGTAGAGAGGAAAAGAAAGCGGGAAACAGTGACAGAGAGAGGGAGAAAAAGAGAGAGGGAGGTCACGGTTGCTGCTCATCTCTTCACACTGGAACATACGGCGAAGCAGCAAACACGTTGCTATAGAAACAAGGCATTGTGCTGGAGCACGTGGCATTTTGTAGCGAACACTGAGCGGGAGATTAGTGCCACGGAAAGAGTGACAGAATGTTTTTCTTTTCCTTTTTTCCTCAGTGTGTTCACACTAGAGAGAGCAGGAAGGCCAGAGATAATTAAAACAGTGACCCTGCGAGTCCAGGGCATGACTGGAAATCTATAACCACAGAAACATTTCAATTTAGCCGCAGATTAAACACGCCTGCTCATTCCCACAGACTGGAGGAGGTGATGGAACGAGGACAGATTACCGGTGTTAGGCACACAACGTATACAGTCAGCCAACTCAGAGAGAGAGAGAGAGAGAGAGAGAGAGAGAGAGAGAGAGAGAGAGAGAGAGAGAGGCTTTTCTGCTGGAAATGTTAAGCTGGAGATGTAGGATGTGGGAAGTGGAGAAGGTGGGCCAGTGAGATGGAGAGGATTAGTGAGATTTGAGTGTCTGTGTGGAGCAGGCAGTGCAGAATGACTATAGAATAGACCTGATTATGTGGTTTCTAACACTGTATGACACACTTTTAGCTACAGTCATGGACTAAAGTAGAGCACATACCTAAAAACAGTAGTAGCAGCTGACTTCAACCCTTTATTTTGTCCATTTTATGTATATTTACCATATATTTTGGACTACAACTGTAGAATATTTTCATAATTGAATATTTTGTTGAGTATTATCTTAAAAATTCAAATATTGTATAAGAACAAGAAACACATGAGATGTTTAATTTGAATGACAATGAAAAAATAGGTTTTTTATTCTTATTGTTGTTATTATTATAATTAAAGAAGATAGTAATAAGAATAGTAATTACTTATCATTATTACACATGATTATGATTGTGTAGTATTGCATAATTCTATTTATTTATTTTGCTTTTCATTCATGTTCTTTTAATGGAACATTAAAATACTTCAAGGCTTTGTTCACACAGCAGGTAAAAGAGGCCAAAATCCAATCTCTTTCTTCATATGTGACACAGATGTGTTGAGTGTGTGTCAGTGTGAACAGAAACAAACACACTGAATCTGACATTTTCAATTCCGATTTTGCCCCACAGGACCCCCACAGAGCAGGTGCTATTTGGGTGGTGGATCATTCTCAGCACTGCAGTGACACTGACATGGTGGTGGTGTGTTAGTGTGGGTTGCGCTGGTGCGAGTGGATCAGACACAGCAGTGCTGCTGGAGTTTTTAAACGCTGTGTCCACTCACTGGCCACTCTATTAGACACTCCTACCTTGTTGGTCCACCTTGTAGATGTAAAGTCAGAGATGATAGCTCATCTGTTGCTGCACAGTTTGTGTTGGTCATCCTCTAGTCCTTCAGTGGTCACAGGATGCTGCCCACAGGACGCTGTTGGCTGAATATTTCTTGTTCTCAGTCCAGCAGCGACACTGAGGTGTTTACAAACTCCAGCAGCACTGCTGTGTCTGATCCACTCATACCAATGCAACACACACTGACACACCACCACCATGTCAGTGTCCCTTCAGTGCTGAGAATGATCCACCACCCTAACAATATCTGCTCTGTGGGGGTCCCGACCATTGAAGAACAGGATAACAAAGTATCAGAGAAACAGATGGACTACAGTCTGTAACTGTAGAACTACGAAGTGCTCCTGTATGGTCAGTGGAGCTGTTAAAGTGGACACTGGAGGGGCTTTTAAAGTTATGGCTGATTAGTGTATTTTATATATCAACAGCGTTAACAACCCAACAACTCGACACAGCTTAAAGCAAGCATGTGATGATTTGAGCATGCAGTTAGCACCACGCTAATCGGTGTACATAAGCTTTTACTCTTTAACTATATTAGCCTCGTAGCTCCAGTGCAAAAGTAAAGAAGTTCTTCAGACACCGACATGTCTTGGCTGATAGATTACTGTTGTAGTGAAGGGGGAAACTGTAAATTTGATTTTTCAGTAAATTATTTCATTTAAGTCATGAGGCCAGGTAGAAGATGAGGGCCTGTCAGTAAGAGAGTGAGTAATACATGAGGAGACAGTAAAATCCCCATCACTGTTCTAATGTCATCTGCTGTAACTGAATTACAGGTTCCCTCAGGAGCTGAACATGGGGAAGATTAGTTCTGAAATCATGTGGAACCTGTTCGCCATGGACATGAAATACGCCATGGAGGGTGAGTTATTCTGTTTGAGTGGTTGAGTGTGCGTGTGTGTGTGTGAGTTTGCATTGTTATAGCCCAATAGTTTTACTGGGGTAAATCGAGTTAGGAATTGATGCATCTAGATTGGAGATCCATCTGCAGAACCACAGCAGTTGCAGATGCATTCAGAGCACAATGTGGTTTTAGACTTGCACTAGTGAACTATAACGTGTGATATTTAGACATTGTGGAAATTGCGATATTTCTTAAAAGCACAAAGTAAAAGATAGTGATAATTATTCTACACATTTCAGAATTCTTTTCATTATTATTGTAGTTAGTCTTCAGGTTGCAAGTGTTAGCTTTAATGTAAGTAGGCAGCCAGCTAGCAGGGGTGTAGCAGTATATCATTTTAATACAGCAAAAAGAAAGAGTGCCTGAAAGTGTGCCTTACTTTGATAACATTATAAAAGTACAGTATTTGAAGCAAAGATTATGCTTTACAGTGTTTCGATTGAACGCTCTAGCCACAAGCTAATACATTAGCCCCAAGCTAGCATGCCAGTCTCGATACAATATGATATGTTGCAGTGCACTTTGATATAGTATGATATTTTGCATTGTACCGACTAGCCACCTACATACACCGATCAGGCATAACATTCTGACCACCTCCTTGTTTCTACGCTCATTGTCCATTTTATCAGCTCCACTTACTATATAGGTGCACTTTGTAGTTCTACAGTTACAGACTGTAGTCCATCTGTTTCTCTGATACTTTGTTAGCCCCCTTTTACCCTGTATAATACCCATAATGTTATGCCTGATCGGTGTATTACTTCATTAACAGAGCGCTGCTCTGTATGCGACCCTGCCAGTCTGCAGTGATAGCAGAGGAGGGTAACGTCTAGCAACCTCGCTGCTGGGCTTTAGTTACATTTAGGGCATCATATGCCTTCAAAGAGAGACGGACAATTAATTATGATCACCCACCCCAAATTCTTCAGTGATATGAAGCTGTCATATGTATGTATGTCAGCTATTCGCCAACTTCTTATTCAAATCTTCCCATTACACCTTAAACGGTGCAGCAGTTCTGATGTCTGAGGTGCCACAATGTAACTGCTGCACCATTTAAGGTAAAATGGGACATTTAGCTAGCTAGCTACCGAGACATTAGCATACTACTAGTGATTTTTTATACTTGTTATGAAGGAAAGGACCATAATACATTTAAATGACGTTAATCGTTATTGTGATACATTTGTGGGTTTCTTTGGTCACTTACCCCTCTATCACAACAGAAATCAGGACACCTTACCCCTAGACATGAACGTACAAAACAGAGGGGTATTGGTGAAATGTGACTGGGCCAAAGTGGCTTTTTTAGCTAGTAGCTACTAGCCAAAGTAACCGTAACCCCAACCCTAGAGGGCGCAAACTTAAAACCAGACCCTGTTCTGAAACTGCAAGTGTGAAGCTGCAGGTCTAGAACCGCTGCTGGCCTGTAGATGGATGCTGTGATGATGTTTGTACTTGTTGTCAGATTGATAAAGCTGCAGATTGCACTTTTGTTTTGAAAGTGAAGTTATGGTGCTGGGCTTTCGACAGCGTCTGTACATGTTAGCTGTGGCTGTAGCTTTGACAGACTTCCAACACTATGATGTTTGGCTGCCTGACCACCATTATATGCCATACTAAAGTCAGAAAGGGGATAGAGAGTGAAGGGGAGTATACGTTTATAATACAGCGAGTACCCCCTCCACCCTCCATAATAATATTCTGAAAAACTAAAAAGCGGAATAAATAATAATGGGAAATAAATAAAAATATGTATGGTTACGACGGTGCTGTGCCTGCCACTGTGGTTGGCCAGGTACCATCGCAGTGTTGGAGTGATCATTGCAGACGATTAGCCTGGTCATGGGCCTTGGGCTTCACATTTTGTTGACAATAAGTATAGCGAAGTATAGCAATAGAGAAGTAAAAAGCACAGCTATAGAGCACTGGCTATGCAGATAGATTGAATTGTTTTGCCCCCTGCAGTGTCGGGGGTCACTGAGCTTCAGCCCAAGTAAGCCTGTGCATTCATCCGCCCAAGACTGCAGTCCTAACCTCAGCTACAGATGCAGCATTTTAAACCCAGAAGAAAGCATCAGCCTCTCCTATTATGTCCTAATGAACTGAGAGAGAAGGTGTTTCATTGAAATGCATGGCGGTGCACGGACAGGCCTGCTTAAGTAACGCACAGTTTTCCAGCTCAGCTTTCGCTCTGCCCTCTGGCTGTTTTCCACAGCTTTAATGTGAGATCTCCTGATATCAGATTCATAAAAAATGCCACAAACAAGGACAGAGAGAAAATTAAAAATGGCTAATGTATCAGTTTGTTCCACTGTCAAATCATCTTTGCATTTTCATATGAATTTTAATGAGGCCAGGTGAATTGAAGTATTTTTTTACATGGTTGATGACACATTTGTGAAGCAGACCTCCTGTCTTGGCCAAGTTTCGCAGTTGCCTGCTGGGTAAATACGATAATTAATGAGGAGAAGCTTATAATGAGCTTTTAATATTACATTTTTTCTTCATTTTCTGTGTTTGTGTGGCATTTGGTTCACCATCGGTGTAGGTTTGAATCCAGCATTGATATTTAATTCCAATCAGGTCTAAAACTGGGACACATAAAGGCTATTCCCACTGCTGCACACACACACACACACACACACACACACACACACACACACATGTACAGACATGTACACGCATGCACAAACACACACACATAGCTGAAAAGGCCAAAAACTGAAAGGCTATTCCCTCTGATACTCTCTCTCTCTCTCTCTCTCTCTCTCTCTGTCTCTCTCTCTCTCTCTCTCTCTCTGTCTCTCTCTCTGCCTCTCTCTGATAGAGGGGAGATGAGCTCTAAACCTCAGCTGTGCCAGATGAAATGTCATAAATGTCATTATTAATACTGAACTTATTCAGGCAGGATAATGTGTATGATCGTGTGTGCATCTATGTACAGTACTGTTCAAAAATCAGAGACCACCTTTATTTAATTTTAATGCCCCGAAATTCAGGCCACTGGTTGTGTTCACATGCAAAGATTTGTGCCAATCTGGTTGAATACATTCCGATCATAGATAAATAATCAAACACATTCAGTGATGTTGAGGTCTGGACTCTGGGGTGGTCAGTCCATTGGTCTCTGAACACCAACAGCTGCTTTGTTTGATTTGCAGAAGTTCTTCTTTTTCCTTATGCAGGTGGATTATCTGATATCTCATCTCCTCAGAAATATCACCTGAAAAAGAAGACTTTGTACTCAATGGCACTTTTGTTTGGAAATTGAATGAATGAGGGGGGGTCTCTGACTTTTGCACAGTGCTGAGTATGTTGACACCTCCACAGGTAGCTTTTTGTTCTGTTGTGGACTGACTGTATTAGGCTGTTGATTAAATGGTGGCCATAATTTATTCATACATACATATATTTTATTATTGTTCATCATTTCCCAGTTTTATCCTTAATGTGTGTGTTTCCATGGGAACCAGGTGCAGTGATAATGGCAATCTATGCACTTCACACATTGATAAGCACACACACACACACACACACACACACACACACACACACACACACTCAGACGCAGATGTGCTCCCCTTTCTCTCTGTTTGTTGTCATGAGAATAAAATGCCATTTGCTGCCTTCTGATTGTGTATGCATGGAGCATAAATTGCCGTGTATATATATATATATATATATATGTGTGTGTGTTGTGTGTGTGTGTGTGTTTGAGAGCTCCCCTGGAGTGCTGTGACTGAATAGCACAGAGAAAGGCAAGGGCACACACACATACAAACACACACAATTTAGATTGCAGTTATAAAAAAAAAATACATTTGTTCCATATTTACATTCAGAACAGTCTATCTGCTGCTATAGAACGTAGATCTAAATCCAGATCTTCAGTACAGATTCCAGTCCTGGATTTTGTAATCATCTAGGGTTTATACCTACCAGTGATCACAAAATCTAGGACCAGAAATGTCCAGAGCTGAAATGACTTGCTATGTTAATAATCTGTGTACATTTTTATTGACTATAATAAATGATACAACATGGATTTAAATATTACTGTTCATTAACTACCAACTATTCACTATTAGCCATTCAGCACAAAGTAATTTTAGATGTTTTATTTCATATTTCAAGGGATGTGTGAGCGAGAAGTCATTAAATGGTAAATGATATACTGCAAGTATCTAACTTACTTTCATTTTTGTCGCAATTTCTGCCTTGCAGTTTGACCTTCACTTTTACACTATGCTGAATTCTGGATAGGAATTTTATCATAGCTTTATTTGGGATATTAATTGTATTATAAACTCATTCTGATGCTGTACAGCACTGTAAAAATGACTCAGTGTTTTAACCTTAAATAAGTTAATAACCTGGCTGCTCCAAAGTTTGAGTTTAATCTTGTAATAGTAAGTTATCAGAACACTAATCTGTGTTTTACGTTATGTTAACAGTCATTCCAAACGTTTGAACAGTGATTCCAAACCATCAAAGGCTGCTATATATGCATGCATACACACACATAGTGTTGGGAAATGTGGTTCAAAGTAATACATTACAGTAAAGTGATTACTTTTTTCTGTGGTGAATTAGTGCAGCACCTTATAGTAAAATTCTAATAATTCCATTACAGTTACTGACTTCATTAGAATTATTTAGGTTACTTGTGTTACTCACAGGTAAAAAAAGGATGTATGAACATAATTCAGTTATGTCACACATTTCCATTCAGTTAAATAGAGTCAGCACGTATAGAGAAATTGTGCACACAATTTAGCAGAAAAATGTCAGATTTTCACTTATTTTCACCCAGAAAATCAACAAAACATGTTATCTGACCAGGGGTGTTCAAACATTTGCATATGACCTTACATACAACTATTCAAATGAAACAGTATGTAGAAAACACACCCCCCTCCACAAACACCTCACATCTGTTATCAAGGACATCA